TGCATTTACTTTTGAAGGGGAAAGATATGTTTTCACAAGATTAAGCCAAGGGTTTGCTGAATCACCTACAATTTTCTCTGATGCAATAAAAAAATGTCTTGCTGAGTTTAATCCACTAGAGGGAAGCCAAATTTTGAGCTATGTGGATGACAATTTGGTGGCGTCAAAGACAGTTGAGAGCTGTAAAAAAGATACTATAGCTTTACTGAAATATTTGGCTAAAACTGGCGAAGTCAACAAAAATAAAATACAGTTATGGAAGACAGAAGTTAAATACCTAGGTCATACATTAACCAAAAACGGAAGGTTAATCCATGGGGAAAGGAAAGCTTCTATTTTAGCTGCACCTAGACCCCAAACTAAAAAACAGATGTCATTTTTGGGGCTATGTAATTACTGCCGGCTATGGGTAGCAAATTATGCAGAATTAGTAAGGCCATTACAAAATCTAATTTTTGATAAGCCAATGTCACCTAAAGAAAACATTTATTGGACTGATGAAGTAGTCATAACCTTTAGGAAAATTAAAGGAATTATAGCTAGCTCAGTTTTAGCTTTGCCGGACTATTCTAAGCCTTTTGAACAGACAGTTGACTGTAAAAATAGATTCATGACATCAGTATTAACTCAAAAATGGGGTTCAAAACAAAAGACACTTAGCATATGAGCTCCCCAGACCTCCCGGTGTCTTCCTGAAGCTAAAGTGAATTACAATACAGAGCATTCAGCACATAGCCACATATATACGCAGCCACAGTGGGGCGGCTGCGGCTGTAAAGTGCCAAACTGCCGTTGTGTCCTTAGGCAAGACACTTCACCCCCATTGCCTAGAATGAGTCTGGTGTGTGTGTGAATGGTTGGTGGTGGTCGGAGGGGCCGATAGCGCATACTGGTTGCCTCGCTTATGTCAGTGTGCCTTAGGGCAGCTGTGGCTACAGTAGTAGTTTATCACCACCGTGTATGGTGTGAATGAATAATGACATGTGAAGCGTCTTTGAGTGTCCAAAAAAAGCGCTATATAAAACCGATGCATTATTATTATTATTATTATATGATTTACCAAAATGATAACTTAAGTTACATTCCAATATCATATGACCAGCTCAGTTTTATCATCATTGCACACAAAAGTTCTTTTTTTAATTTCAAAATGTTTTTATTGTTTTAATGCAATAGAAAACAAAGTCACTTTACATTATGTCCAGGGCGTAATAAAATTAGACCACTTTGCGATAAACAAGTAAGTAGCGTCCTTCGTTTACAGAAAATAGACATCAAATATGACGCATATCAAATATATCAATGAGAACAAACTAACTATATACAAACAAACAACCGTGAAAAATACTAAATAATAATTAAAACAAACATACATTAAAATAAAATAAAAAGGGCTAGCTTTCTATTCCTCTAAGGAATTTCCATCAAATTCATCCTTATAATAGTGCAAGAAGGGTTTCCACACGACTTGAAACTTCTGGTTCTGAACAGAACATTTTCAAGCCAGAGAAAAGACATTGTATCACTGACCCAACGTGAATGTTTTGGAGGTACTGATGCCTTCCAGTTCGTCAGTATTAACCGGCGTGCCAGGAGTGGGGAGAATGCTATCAACCGTGCTTGGGCTTTTGAAACAGTTGTCCTGTGTACCAGTCCGAATATTGCGGTGATAGGATCCGCTTCAATCCTTTTCTTACAAATAACAGTGAATGTATTAAAGATTTCCGACCACAATTTGTGTAAATTCGGGCACGACCAAAACATATGAGCCAGAGAGACAGGGGCCTGATGACAGCGTGTGCATGTAGGATCTATGTTTGGATATATTCTTGCCAACCTAGTCCCAGACAAATGCAGACGATGGAATACCTTGAATTGTATCAGTCTATGGCGCACACAGAATGATTACGTATGTATATTATTCATAGACCTCTGCCAAATTTCATCTGTTATTATAATGTTTAGGTCCTCCTCCCAGTTGGATTTAAGAGGAAGAAGTGACAGTGTTAGTGGCTTGAATGAATCTATAGAGCTGCGATACACCACATACACCCCGGAGCCCAAGCCCCAGGCATTCGTCCTAAGAACAGATGTCCGGCTTGTAAGGGAATATCGGAAACCTAGTACGGACAAAATCTTGTACGTGCAGATATCTGAAAAAACTAGATCTCTGTAAATTAAATCGCCTGACTAAATAATCGAAAGTGGCGAAATTGCCATCTACAAACACATCACCCACGCTTTTAATGCCATTTTGGTCCCATGCGATGAAGGCTGTGTCCAGTTAAGATGGTGTGAAAAGAAAATTTTTAACAAGGGGCATTAGTGCTTCCTAAATTGGGTCCCAATACGAAGATTGGCTCTAACTATAAGATTATCAGTGTGTACACCCACTGCCACCGGCAATGGGGCACACAAAAGGGAAGCCAAAGACGTTGATGGACAGGCGTGCTGTTCCGTTACAGCCCAGCTTGGGCTATCTTTACTCCTACTAATATTAAACCAAATGATAACTTTGGATATGTTTGCAGCCCAATAATAATACATAGGGTTTGGCAAACCCTATCCACCATTCTCCCTGCGCCTCTCAAGAACAGCTCTCCGTACTCGGGGTATAGTTTTAATCCAAATAAAGTTACGGATGTATCGGTTCAGTTCCTTAAAGAAAGACTTGGGTAAAAAAATAGGGACAGTTTGAAATAAATATAAAATCTTCAGTAAGATTCCCATTTTCACTGAATTAATACAAGTTTTGAAGAGTTTTGAAATTAGCCTGAAACAGGTCTTTAACTGCTGGTAACAAAAGTTCTTCTAAAAAATCCACACATTTAAACTGAAGTAGAGGTGACTCAGGTGATGAACTATCTCTTAACACAACCTCATGAGACTGGTCCTTCTGAATGAGAATCCATATCAAGACCAAGCAGTCCAAAAAATCGGAAAATAACAGGAACTTTAACATAACACGACTTGCCTTGAAAAAGACAAAGAATCAACACAATCATATCCACAAAGTAAATGGATTATTTTTTTGTTAAATGGAAATAGTTTTTAGTTCAAAATAATGAGTGTGACAAACGGTTCCGTGTACCCTCCGTTCATTCTATTTTCGTTTCTGACGTGCACATCAAAAAACAAACTCTGAGACTTTTTTTTTATTCCATTGTTGAAAAAAGAAATTGAACGAATTAAAGCCGCAAGCGGCGTCGAACGGCCCTTGCCACACAACGCAACCAAGGTGGCGTTAACGCGCCATTTTCCTACCGCCCTGATGGGAGCGACACTGCATTTTGAATGCCTATGATCAGTGATTGTGTGTCTCTATTGAAAAGGTAAACCTCATTCTCCCCATGTAACACTTGAATCAGTCTGTAGGGGGCGCTGATGCTGAATTTTCATGATTTACACTTTAAGTTTACTCAAACCCAAGAGTTGGACTATCAAATACATTTTGTGCAAATCGGACTTTGTATGTGAAAATTGTGTTATTTAATGTTGTACAATAGCGCCCCCTACAATTTCATTTTTTTAGTGTTACACCAAAGATCACCAAAATAATACACTTTTTACCTGAAAAAAACTTGTGGCAAAGTTTGAGTTTTCGTGTTTGTTCAGTGGGTCAAATATGAGATCAAACAACAGAAAACCTAAATACCTTTATCCCCATGTAAACCTTTACTCAGCCTGTAGGGGGCGCTAATCGGAAAATGTCATTGTTCACACTGTCATGTGACCTAGGCCCAGGAGTTGACCAACCGAGTCAAGTATACTGCAAATCAGAGTTTGTAAATGTGCTCCTGTTTGTACATACAATCTGTGAGTGTGTCCATACTGTCTCCATTGGATAACATGAGAACTTCACACCTCTCTATGAAAATAACCACACTTTGGGAGTCTGTCACGCGCAGACCGTTTGACTAATTAAAATTCTATATTCAACTATTGATGGTCCATGTGTGGACACCATGTGGAGCGATTTTCAGCCAAATTATTGAAACGGCCGCGGCTGGTTTGATGTTTGAGCGAGGTGTACTTTTCAGAGATTTAACGATTTTCCCATAAACACAGTATGGGGAATGTTTGCCGTCGCCACGGCAACAGGGTAAAAAATAATCATATGTTGTCATTGGCTGTATCCGAATGTCCACACTATACCCTATTCACTCACTCACTATATAGTTCGGGACTATATAGCGACTGAGTGAGTGAGTCAGTGCACTCATTCTGTTGGCAATTCGGACACATGCACACTATTTTTAGCCGCGGCCCACATCACACCCCTGTCACATGTCATTGGATCAATATAATTTTATATATAAATAAAAGTATATTAAAATATCAATATTTGTCTAATATACATGTATAAAATGTTTTTACAATTTATATTCATATTTATGAATTTTGGTTGACTTATTCGCTTAACGTCTTTCATATTTTCGCCACCTGACCGGCTCCTCTAACACTGGTGAAATGGCACCTCCACTGAATTTTGCGGTGTTTTTGTTAACAATTATAAAACTTCTCATAATGCGAATTAAAAACCGCCGAACAGAGAGAAGGCGAAGACAGGCGATGAGGCGGAGGAGGAGAATGGCTCTTCGTTCATTAGCAGGGCGTCGTGTAAGTATTGTATTCGTCCTTTGTCTATATAGCATTAGCACCATCTACTGGGTAAATTATAGTACTTTTGGTGTACTTACTAATTAAAAATACTATTCTCAGTCAATGAGAAACACATTAGTCATATACATTTAGACATATTTCAACAATAAAACACATTGTATAGACACACTCACTTAAAATGCAAGAACATTAAAATATTTTATTGGTTGAAAGAACACAAAACCATAGCAAGGGAAATGGATTAAGTACTCATTTTTTTCTAAATGAAAAATGAGTACTTAATCATTAAACAATAATAGAATTTGCTTGGCCATGGGGCACAGGGCTTCTGTGATTTTTGTGTGTGTTATTAGGTGCGAGTGATGTAGTGAGGGTTTCTACTTCAGTTGTCTCAGGGCAGCTCCAGCTCCCTGCAACACACAATACATTTGGCAAAATCAATGCCAGGGCACAAAAGAACATGACTTCAGCTATATACTCTTCATTTTTATTTACATTTTTAAATCTCAAAATGAAAAATGAGTACTTATTCCTGTGTCTGCACTCATAACTAAAAGTGCAGATACAGAATTAAAAAATGAATCTAGAAGCATCATATTAAGTTTAAGAGCATTTTTGTTTTGTTTTAGGGTGTACTGCCGACTGAACCACCATGTACCCCTACTCAGCATGTACTTAAATGGCCAGTCTGACCTTCGCCCCGATTTTCGTCTCACTCGAACCACCATCACCCGTCTGGTTAGCCACCTGAGGAGTGCTCATCACCAGGGCTGGAGCCAGGACATGGAGGTTTTGGTCTTCCTCTTTTGGTTGGCCAGTGGCACCGCGTACCGTGTTGTCGCCAGGGCATTTGACATGCCCCAGTCCACAGTCCACGATGTGATCCACAGGGTGGCCAACCAGATCCTTCAAATGCGTGGCCAAATAATTCATTTCCCTTCCCTGGAGGAACTTCCCCAAGTTGCAGCTGGGTTTCAGTTGCTGGCTGGATCAGCTGCTCTCAATAATGTTGTGGGGAGCATCGACGGCTGCCACATCAGAATAAAGCTTCAAGAAAATGCACAGTGTTATTTTAACAGGAAATTGTTTTACTCTATTCAAATGCAGGCTGTGTGTAATCACCGTGGCTTATTTATTGATTTGTTTGTTGGCTACCCCGGATCTGTGCACGATTCTCGAGTGCTTAAAAACAGCCCCCTCTACGTCCACCGGCTCTATCCCCCAAATGGACACGTCCTCCTTGGGGATGGTGGCTACCCTTGCCTCCGTCAGCCCATCACACTCCTCCTTCCATACAGAGAGCCTGTTTGGAGCCCAGTGGAAGCCCGCTTCAACCGGCACCATGCACGGGCACGATCTGTAACAGAAAGAGCGTTTGACATGATGAAGGCAAGATGGCGATCAATTTTTTTCAAGGCACTGGAAGTCCAACCCACCTTTGCAGTCCAGGTGACTGCCTGTTGCGCCATCCTGCACAACATCTGCATCAGCGATGGTGATCTCTGGGAGCCAGTGGAAGAGGAGCCAGGGCCTGATGATGAGCAGGACCAGCATCAGCAGTACCAGCCTGATCAGCAGTGTGGACAGGAGCTGTGTGGACGGATGGCAGCAGCACTTTCCACCCCAAGGGCCAGGCTACCAGCTCTTCGGGAACACGACTATTAATTAAATGTTTGAATAATCTGTGTTTTGGCCTATTTGAATAAAAACAAAAACAATTGAATATGTAAATATCTAAAAAGAAATTGTTGAATGTATGTATAGTTTTCTTTACAAATGTCTAGTTGATTACATTTTTTTTGTGTAAATAGTGTTCATCATTATATGTCGATATGCATATAGTTCAAACTACACTTATCAAAATACATTTTTATCTACTATTTACAACTTCTCAACAATTCTCTCCAACAAACTCAACAGTCTCTCCTTTCTCTCTTCCTCTCTTCTTCCCCTCTCCTCTTCTCGCTTCTCCCTTTCCTCTTCCTTCTTCTCCACCTTCTCCAAAAAACTAATTCAACTCTCCCTCCTCGGCCTCTTGGCTGCCACACTGCTTTCCTCTTCCTCTACCTCCTCTGGCTGTACGGGGACAGGGGGTTGTTCCACAGATGTGGAAACACCCTCCCCCATGGATGAGGCAATCAGGCAGGGAGGCTGCACGGATGGCCTGCTGCCTATTGCCTCATCCATGAGGGAGTACTACTTCCAAGATATGGCGATGGGCTCCCCTCCTTCTGTCCCTGTCCCTGTCCGTGGCTGTCTGAGCTCCTTAAAACAGTGAGTTTTGTATAATAAATGCTTCACAAATTAGCTTCAAAGAAACAAACCTTGTAGGTCTTTTTCAGGTTCTCCCACTTCTTGGCCGCTCTGGCAGGGCTGATCAGGCGGCTCAGCCCCATTTCCTTTATTACTGCCCTAAAGTAACGATACATAAAAACATTTGAATATGAGTAGACGTTTTTTGAATAAGTATTTATTCATAATGGTCATACTCCCATCCAGCCGCCGAAGCAAATTTTTCACCCGCAGTCAGATGAGTCTCTCCACATCAGTGTCTGTCCCTTTAAAAAACATTAAACACACAATAAATGCTATACATATAACACAAGTGCTTTAATAACATTAATGACTGACCACCAGTGACCCGTTTCTGTAGCGTTCGCTTTAGATCAGTGGTTCCCAAAGTGGGGGTCCCGACCCCCCGGGGGGTCGCGGGAACCCCTAGGGGGGGTCGCAAGATGATTTCCACACAAACAAACAAAAAAGATTTTTTTTTTTGAGCAAATATAAAGCCCTTAAATATTTATTTAGCATTTGATTTGATTCAAAAGGACTACTTGTTAAATTGTGTTTGGAGACTATAATATATTTTAATAACGTTAGTAATTTTGTCCCAGTCATTGCAGCGTCAATCAAAATCATCACGTAACACAGCTCACATCATGCGCAGCGACAAAGCGTGTCCTGCTGTTGTTTGCTAAAACTAAAGGTGTTTGGAGGCTACAAATAAATAATACCTGCTTTAAAATGAAACGTGGTTAATATCCACAACAGAAAAACCCGGAGGGGGAGAAAAGTCACTTGTATCAGGGGTCAGGCTGATGGTGCGAAGAGAGGGAGAGAGGGCAAAGGAGGGAGAGAGGGCAAAGGAGGGAGAGAGGGCAAAGGAGGGAGAGAGGGCAGCGGAGGGAGGGAGGACAGCGGTAGAACAGCGCGTTAAAGAGGCCCGGCTTTTCGGAGTCAAAGGTAAAGAGGTCCGCACATTAAAAGCGGGTGGCCGGTTTATGCCTTTACTGACAGTAACTTTGGAAAGAGAAGCCGCGGGGATGAACCGCATAAAGTAACAGCAGAAAGCGGCCGCCCGCTTTTAATGTGCGGACCTCTTTACCGCTGACTCCGGAAAGCCGGCCCACTTTACCGCGGTAGGAGAACAGTGAGGGCGAGCCGCAAGAAATGCGCTCCACTTCTGCTGAGGAGGGAGCCCACCAAGCCCATCACTGTGTCACTACATGAGTAAAAATATGCAAGCCTCCTTTTTTGGGCTGGACAGTGCAGCTCGGTAGTGGCGTGAGTCTCTAGAAAGCGTTACTCCGTATCAAGCAAATACATGCTCATTTCATGTGACGGAAGAAGGGCTGTTGGGGGGGGGGGGGCGGTCGCGGGTTAGCAGGGCATTTATGATGGGGGTCGCGGGCTAAAAACTTTGGGAACCCCTGCTTTAGATGATAATGTTATGATATGCGAAAATGCTAACACTTTTGCGGCATAACATTGGTACGTTGTTTTGCAGTAAAAGGCAATGGTATTCAAATGTGTATTTTGGCAGCTTATCGTCAACAATATATCACGGTTTACACATTTACATATTTATGATGATTAAAAACTCACATTTGTAGCTCATGTCCCGCTCCTCTTCCAACCCGTCTCTCTGTGCCTCCGCCATTGTTCTTCCGTATAGTGACCACTGCTGCTCACTACATTTTCGAGATGCATTGTGGGAAAATTCTAGTGCACTACTTTTTCTCTCTGGACATTCGGACACCCCTACAAAATGGCGTGACCACTATATAGTGCACTATATAGGGTATAGTGTGGACATTCGGATACAGCCATTGACTTTTTGAATCCAGATGACAAAACAGAATTATGTGCAAAATTGGATCAAGCCCATGCAAAACTTTGACATGGTCTTTAGGGAGCGCTAAAGAGCCTATTTCAATATTTCCAATTTCAAATGACCTTGACCCTGGAGCTGAACAATGGATAAAATGTGTGTGCAAATCAGACTTTGCTTGTGCAAACGGGAGCAAATTTCAAATTTTGCCGCTCCGCTGCTCGGACAATGTTTAAATGATCCAAATTCTAGATTGAAAAATTGATGGTACATGTGTGAAAAATATAAATTTTCATTTTTCCATTTCCCATTGAAATTAATGAGCTCCCTGTTTGTCAGGGGGCGGAGCCATAATAACTTTTTTTCATGTCTTGACTTGAGGAACATGTGTACAGAATTTTGTGGCTCTACGACAAACTTGACCTCTGACCCCCTCCCATAGGCGCAATGTAAACTGACTTTAGTAAGGGGGCGCTGTTCTGTCATTTTTTTGTCCCTAAAAAGTAAACACCGGACAAAGCCCGGACATTTGTCCGTAAGACAGTTGAAGTAACCCACCCCTTTAATAGGACTTCAATCATTTCACTGTGTACTACAGCAGGAGTAAAACCATTCCGTGCCTCCGCCACGGATTTATCTGTGCTTGGGCACGTGCCGTCGCTTGCGCCCGGAGATTGTGACAACGAGTAATTAGTCGTTGGGAAAGCAATAGGCCCTTACCCCAGTTGGGGCTCGGGCCTAACAAGGTTAACAATACATACAACAGGAAACGATTGTCACTGTGAAATCGATCGACTAAAACAGTTTCAATACAGGTGCAAGAACATTAAAGTGCTCTGTTTAAACTGATAGCAGCTTGTGGAAAGAAGCTGTTATTATATCGAGATGTCCTGCATCTAGCAAATGATATCTTCTGCCAGAAGGAAGAAGCTGGAACATGGTTTTTCCATGGTGGCCAGAAGAGTCATTGATTATTCTAAAATCTCGGTTTAAGAGTCTGGATTTATAAAGAACCTCCAGAACAGGAAGCTCACAGCTCACATTGTCTCTCTGGTCTCTCTCTGCTCTCTCTCTCTCTCTCTCTGGTCTCTCTCTGATCTCTCTCTAGTATCACATGTCTCCTCTTAATAACATTTAAAATCACACTTATTCCTATCTTCTCGTTTCTTTGCTGACAGGGTTAGCGTCTATACAGAAAATTTCTCCATGTGTCCCAAAGTAAAGCCCTTTATATGTTTTAGTTTTTGAGTATATTCTCCAGTTTCCTCTTACTTTGGTGATGGCCAGCGGCTCTCCGTGCTCCAGTCCTCCCTTCAGCGTGAATCCCCAGGGCGCTCCCCCGCTCAGATGGACCTGTGCGTGGGCATAAGTGGCCTGCTCCATGCCGAATTCTGACAAGGCGGGGCTTAAGCCTAGTTTATTGTTTTTGTTCTGAAGAGGACAAAGTAGCAGCGTAAATGGGACCGCGCCTGTAAGATCGCCATCATGTGGTTTGTTGTGGGATTACAACATTCTCCTCAAAACTCCGTAAGGGGAAGTATACCACCAACCGCAACCATAACCAGCGCCGTGCGAGGCCACTAGGCTTTAGTCATCTACGTCACACACGAGAGACAATACAGCATTTAGAGCTGGGGTACCTAACTTTTTTTTTGTTTTTTTTTATTATTCCGACAGAAAGAGTCTTGTCAAAGAAAAATGCTGTGATTCAATCAGACACAACACACGTCTTCATCTCATTAAAAACACATAATATTTTTGTCAGAAAGAGCCCAGATAGTCTCTATTTGACTTTTTGGGCTGAGAGCTGAGATATTCACGGATGATCTAATATAGTCTAAATTCCTAATCTATTTTTAAATTCGTACACACCTGCAATTTTGTAATGTTAATAACAAGCACTTGTTGAATGTTTTTTTTTTCTTTAAAGATATCCATTGTTGTGGTCTAAAAGTTACGTAGCCATGCTTTAAAGTTGTGCAAATTATTATACACTGTTATAACTGAAAAATAGTTTATGAGCGCACTTACGGCCGAATGAATAAGGAGGTGGCGCCACCTTCTGGAGATCCCCGTAACTGCACATATAGTTTCCGCAGTTTCTGTGGGAACTATAGAAACCAGAGACCAGAAAGAGAGCAAAGAGAGAGAGACCAGAAAGAGAGAAAAGATAGAAAAAAGAAAGAGAGCAGAGACCAGAGACAGTGAGAGGTCAGAAAAAGAGAAAACTGAGAGACCAGAAAGAGAGCAAAGAGAAAGAGCCCAGAAAGAGGGAAAAGAGAGCAGAGAGACCAGAGACAGAAAGGGAGACCAGAGAGAGAGACCAAAAGGAGAGCAGAGAGAGAGAGACCAGAGAGAGACTGAGAAAGAGCAAAGAGAGAGAGAGACCAGAGAGAGAAGTCAAAATAGAGATAAGAGACCAGAGAGAACGAGATCAGAGAGACCTCATTCGTTAATAATAAACTGTTTTAATTAATGAATGAGAAGATTGGACAGTTTGAATCTTAAAATATTTCAGATACAAACTGAACAGTTGGTGTATAAAAGTATGAAGAAGCCACAGCTTGTGTAATTGTAGTTTTCTGCCTGTGCGTCATGATCCGTTTGCTCCTGTGTCAATCATTTTTGTATAAACATCTAATAAATATAACGCTTTAATGCAGGCCAGCCTCATCCAGAATCCATGAAGGCCGATGGGGAAGTGCTCAGCTGTGAAGTTTAGCTCCATCTCACTCTGGCTCCTCTGGACATATTACACATTCTGTCCATATATCGACCACACAACGATAAAAGTGATTCATGTTTCAAAGTTCTTAACCTCTTAACATTAAATAGAAAAACACTTTGACTTATTACGGATGAGAAGGCAGGTGGTGAGCTCCAGACCCACCTCCTGACCCTTACCTCCAGACCAACCTCCAAACCCATCTCCAGACCGACTTCCAGACCCACCTCCAGACCCCGACTTCCAGACCAACCCCATACCCACCTTCAGACCCACCTCAAGATCAACCTCCAGACACACCACTAGACCGACCTCTAGACCCACCTCTTGACTGACCTCAAGACCAACCTCCAGACCCACCTCCAGCCCCATCTTCAGACCAACCCCAGACCCACCTCTAGACCCAACTCCGGGGCTGAACCAGAGCAAAGTCCTCGAGCAACTCTAAATGACAACATACTTATAACTTATAACAAATAACTTAATATTTTAGGGTTTGTTTTTCCATTGTGTGTCAATTTCATGTTTTTAAACTTGAAATAGTTGACGCTCAAGTGTTTCTATGGCGGTTAGAGTTTATAGTGCAGATTTTGTTGTTGTCATTTTTGTAGCTTTAATTTTACATAACAGGTTCAAACAGTCAACTATAGAGTACATTGGAAAATAAAATAAGATAAACGTATTTTATCTCTGACTCTGGTGTAACTTTATTTCCACTTTCTAAAACATGAAAAGTCAATGATCTCAAGAAAACCCTGAACAAAAGTCAAACACAGAATAAACTATTTCTGATTTTGTCTTTAAGAAACTTTTATTTGTAAATTATTTGCATTTAGAATCCTTTCACCACAAAGTATATTTTGGTTCCATTAAAAGTCCATCGTCCACAAACAATAACAATAATCAGGATACAACAGTCTGTTTGATCTTGGGCAGTTGCAAAGAGGAAAATATACTTTAGACGCTCTTTGTTTGAGAGAAGTTTCTGATCTTAGCTTTTGCCCGTTTCTCACAGTCATCAACACTCGGTTTATTATATCCTTTAAAACCATATTAAGCCACAGACAGGAGTGTGGCATGTTTTCATAGATCATTGTAAACATATAAAACTCTTTGATTTACTGTTATACCCTCCAAAATCATGAAAACAAAATAAACACTTTCAGTTTAAAGAGATGAAATAAACAACAGATTGACTGACGTAACTTAGTACTATGCATAGACTGTTTATAAATGGACAATAGGGAAGTGCTCACGGTAGCTCTACTGGCTCTAGCTCTGTAACCATTTGTGTGACACTCTCTATTTTGGGCTTGAATCTGTGGTTTGAAGCTCTCTATGATCTATGTGTTTTTACTTTTACATTGACTTTGTAAATCCAGCCCACACAGTTGGAAACAATACCCATTGAAGGTTGGCCTACAGGCACATGCTCAAATTGGTTTCTTTGCATTTGGCAAACAGTAACGGATGACGACATCACTCAGTCAGTCCACTTTTATTATAAGATCTATGGTACTATATTGTCATTCAAAAAAACCCACATGCTTGAGATATTTTCTTTTTTAAACAAATACACAATTTGTAAAACATTTGAAATAAAAATTCAAACTTTCCAGAGCAGTTAGATGGTTTTACATTTCCCTTGTTCCCCTGGTTCCCCTTGTTCCTCTGGTTCCTCTGGTTCCCCTTGTTCCTCCGGTTCCTCTGGTTCCCCTTGTTCCTCCAGTTCCCCTGGTTCCCCTTGCTCCCCTGGTTTCCCTTGTTTCTCTTGTTCCTCTGGTTCTTCTGGTTCTTGTTGTTCGGACTGAAAAAGGAAAACACAATGATTTAGAAAAACATGCAACAAATGCACATTTGAATAATGTTGAATTGAAACCACAACTGTTTAAGTGGTGAATTAAAGTAAGGCTATGTTCAATCTGTTCTGAACTTTATCAAAACTTGATTCTTAAAAGTGTCTGTTTTCAGATGTACAGTTGTCTTAATTGAGGATCTGTTTGTATTTTTAACACCAGTGTGAACACAGCCTAAGACTAAGACCTGTACATTCTGTTGTGCTCTTTTCTACCTCATGTGAAACAAACAAATCTCACACTTACATTAGTTTTAGTCAGAAGTCTTTTCCCGCAACCGACTTTTTTGAGGATTTCTGCCTTCTGCTTCTGCTCCTCCAGACCCTTCACTCTCTGCTTCCACCCTGCCTTTTTCTGATTCTTCTCTGACTCTATCATCATGTCAATGTAGTCTGGAGCAGACAGAGGGTTTGGCCTCAGAGCGATCTCTCCCAAACGGTTTATGGCTGCAGTGGCTTCCTGAACCATTCCACTCACATGTTGCTTAAACAGTTGATATTTCTTCTTTAGGAATGAGAACATACTCTCAGTACTTTCTTTCCCCTTTGTCCCTTTTAGATATCTTTCCTTTAACTCCTCTGCAGTTGTTGTCTCAGTGACTTCTTTGTACTCCCATCTGTACTTCTGGTTGTAATGATCCCTCCAGAAGCATTTACCAGGACACTTAGTGCAGTAACCATCTTGGTTCATTGCCCAACAGCCTCTTTTTGCTGAATCATCACCGATCGCACAAGGGTAATGACAGGTCTGGTGACATTTGGAGCAGTTGGTGATGAAGTTATTTGTACCTGCGATGCTCTCCTGAACTGGCTTGATTACTTTAATGGTAACCTCAAAATCTTTGTTCCTCTCGATCTCAGCCTCATGCTTCTTGATTTGTTCTTGGATTTGCAGAATCTCGTCTTGCTGTGCTAACCCTTCATTTATTTTACTCTGTAGATCTTCCACAGTCTCTTCAAGCTGTTTTCTTTCTCTCAGAACCTCTTTAGTCAGAGTCAAACTCTTAGGTTCAGTCTTATCCAATGCATTAAAGAAGCTTCTCATGCTTGCTTTCCCCATGTTCCAGAACATCTCATCAAAACCAACCACAGAACTTTGGTTTTCAGCAAAAAGAGCAGAGTTGTTGAATTTATAGTGAGCAGGTTTTCCGTCATCATCTTTGGGGCATGGGACTTCTGCAGCTGTGATGGCCTCTAGAACTGGAGGCAGTTGTCCATCTGCAAAAGTCACTAGAACCCTGAGGTTTTCAGCCACGTCCTTCCCAAAGATGGAGAGGACAGAATCAAACACGTAACGCTGTGTGGCGCTGAGACGAGCAAGAGCAGACTGAGCGACGAAGCACACTGTGTGAATGACATCCACCCCATGGCTGTCGGAGAAGAGGTTCCGGATCTGCTCTGTGATTTGATGGTCTCTTTTGATGCCGCGAGTGTCTCCAAAGCCTGGAGTATCGATGATGTTCAGAGAGTAGTCGATCATAAAGCCTTCGTCAAAGTTGACTTTGTAAACGATCACCTCTGATGTCTGACTGTGACTCTGACACTTCTCTTCTTCCACCACTAGTTTGAACCTGTATTTGTCCGTCCACTGCACACCCAGGATGTAGTTGATCATGCCGTTGATGAGGGTGGATTTACCAGCTCCAGTGGCTCCCATCACCATTATGGTGCAGATTTTTTTTCCTTGAACCTCAGAGCCAAAGTTGAACCGTGCACAGCCAGGGATGTTCATTTCATCTTTCTGCAGTGGAACCTTCAGGATCTCCAGAGATCCTTTGGTCTCTATGACTTCACAAGTTTTCCTCACCTCATCTGCGAGGCGTCTGGGGCCCTCTGGTGCGGGACAAGTTTTGTCAGTGAGTTCCTTCATGGGCCCCTGTCCCATCTCAGTGAGAGCCCTCAGTCTGAAGGTGTACTCTGTGTCTGGGTTCAGTCCAGTGACTGTGGTTAAGCCGGTGTTTTCCACTGACTGCTGCTGCAACTCTCCGTTTGCACTGGACTCTTTATTCTCTCTGTACTCCAGCCTGTAGCTTGTCACTGCCTCTGCTCCCCATGTGGGGGCGCTAACACGAAGAGTCACACTGTTATGTGTCACAACATCCACTTTAACTTCAGGCTTCGAAGGAGGCACAAAGTCATCACTGACTTCAAATCCATCTTCATATGTGTAGATTGTTGATCCTTTCTGAGTTTCATCTTTAAAAGCCACTGCCATAAACTTCACGTCCTTTTTGTCTTTGTTGGCTTCTGCAAAGTCTGCAAAGAGCTTCACCTTGGTCCTGACGGCCTCTCGCACGTCTTTGTGGCTGTACCATTGTTGCTTCTCCAGATCTTTGGGCCGAGAGCTGGACTGGTCCAAGCTGATACCCTTTAAGTACTGATCTAAAGCTGAGAGATATTCCTCTTCAGTTTCCAGTGAGGTGAAAACAAAGCAAACTGCATACTTTATGTTGTGGGTCGTGGCATCCAGATCGTCCTGAGAGGAGAGGACTTCTGTGTGCTTCATCATATTAGTGAATGCTTTGATGAGGTTGATCTCTTTGACTTTGCAGCTGACCCACTGGTTCAGACAGTCATAGCTAAATGGAAAAGCAGCTCTTTTCTTCAGAATCTCAGCGAGTTCAGCTTCATTCTCTCCTCCTCCACGGATCGCTGGGAGCTTCTGAGCCAGAACACCCTGGAGTTCCAGGTTAAACTGTGAACACAACCTCATGAAGGTTCTGATCTTTGTGGATATCTGAGGAAACTGCTGTAACACTGCACTCTTTAAAACATCCTGACACTTCATGTCCAGGTCGGCCAGATGCTCCAGGGTCTTCTCTACCTCTAACACCAGCCCCACACTGATCTGCCTCACCAGCTGAGCCGCAGTAGAGTCAAGTTCGGTGAGTGGTAGCAGCCACACAGTCACCGGCACAGCCTTTTCTCCATCTGGACCTAGAAGTTTGGGCAGGTCCTTGTAAACTTTCACTGCATCTTCAAACGTCATTGGGCTCTGAGGCAGATTAAAGTCTCCGTGGAATTTGCAGGAAAACTTGTTGACTTTTTCTCTGTCCTTGTCCTCCATTTTGAGAGATCCTTCTCCCTCGATGGAGATGCAGGGGATTTTCTTGATCACCACCTGGAGCTTTCCTTGAATGTCTTGGATGTTTTCAGAGTCTGACAGTTCTCGGTCAAACACAAAGAAGGCCTGAGCTCCGTACAGAATGGCAGTGACCACATGTGTGGCCAGACCTTTCTCAAAGACGTACGGATGCTTGATGTTTCCTGTGCCCAGCTGGTTCATGGTCAGCTCTCTGAAGCGTGTGGTGGTTTTGTACTTCAGAGTGACTCGTGCCTGCTGTTTGGATGTCCGCGTGTCCTTCAGGTATTTGGCCGAGCCGTCGACCTTAACAAGTCCACCTAAGAAACTGGCCTTCAGAGAAGCCTCCACTCCAAGAGACGAGGACTTGTCTGAGATGGATTCAGACGCCACGATCTCAAACTCACTGTTGGGCTGCGGCCTCTCTGTCATGTCCTCCTTCAGCTTCTCATGGTCCCAGAGGGTGATCCCTGCCACACAAGAACAACTCAAGTTATTCAACCACTCAAAAAAAACTGCAAAATATCATGGAACAAAATAACACATTCGATTTTTGATCCATGATTGAATTGGGGCGACAGTGGCACCCAGTTTGCCTAAAAGGAGCGCGGAAGTAATGTTTGCTTCATGCCTTGATGTTTGTGTATTCATCAAAACTGATATTTCTCCACTGTAGCAAAAAAAAGGACCTTAAAAACAAGAAAAAAGATTGCTCATTAGTTAAAAACCACATTGAAATGCTTGTGAAAAAGGACCAAATATGATTCAGAGACAAACATATAAAAACCCAAGATTTCAATTAATTATTTGCCATTTGCAGTAAAACAACACACAGACAAAACAATACCATTGAGTACAATTCAGCAAGTCAAAAAATTGTAACCCTACCGACATGAGACGACACAAAACAAGACGGATGCACACACCATAGACCCTGGCCCAAACACTCTGTGTTGATGGATTCAGTCTATCTCCTCCATGTACTTCTTCAATAGTCACTTTTTTAGTTTTTTTTAGGAGATCCTTTGTTCCTCCCACAGTAGGCCAGGTCAATATTAAAGCTACAGTAATGTATACAATTATGCATTATAAGAATAAAAGAGGGTACTTGTGAAAATAATAATACTTTCAGGCTAGTGCCCACAGCATGGTGCACACAGGGATAGCGCCTGGGTCTGGAGTAATAAACAGATGATTGTTAGAGAATAATCTAGGGCCATGTAATCCTTGGGGCAGAATGTGGATATGTGACCTATCACTGGCTTCGTACATTCAGGGAAGGTCATGATCTGTATAGAAAATAAATCTATTTGTTTTGCTTTAGACACAGTGATGCTCATCCCACAAATCTATAGAGTGTTTTATCACTCTCTCCAAATGTCTTATGCCGCTTTTCCATAATCACGGTATGGTACGGCACGGCGCGTACCACCTCGGCCGTGGTTCCAACCGTGCCGAAGCTACACTATAAAGTGACGTCAGCCAACTGCCTTACATTGATTGGTCAACGAGTGTTGTCACTGGAAGCGACGTCCGACCCGATGGTAAAAACAACTCAAACCTGCCATATTTTAAACCGGCTCAACATGTCCTCCTCCCTCCAGAGAAATGGAATCGCACAGAAAGCCCCAAAAGTCGGTCGACCAGGACGTTAATGACAATGATTATTAACAAACGTGTGTACATTTTTTCATGTATTAATTTAAATAATTGTTTCCTGATTTTACATCTACTATATATTTTTTGCGTAATGTTAATACATTAAACTTTACGTACACCTCGCTTTTTTTTTTTTCGCTCTGTCCCCTCTACCTGCGAGGCGCTCTCTCCTCACCGCACACACACATTACACACAAAGCCGCACTTATGAGAGACAGATCTCACAACACTGGATATGTTGGAGTTTTTTTCTCTCTCCCCTTTTTCCAATTGCTTTCAATAAGTTTTACCTCATCAATCGCGACGTCCTCAATGCTTCAATATGCCGTGCTTTGCACTGATCATAGCCACAGCTCATACACATCACACACCGCTTCTTCTATTTAAAACTATAGCTCTGCCTGTTGCCTAAAGCCGCGGAGAGGCGAGCTGGGTCCGATAAAAGTGTATCACGCGCTAAATAAGTAGAAAACAAACGAAGAGGCTGGATCATAATAAACGCTACGGTCACAGGCCCAAACTCACATGCACACACACGCCTCCCACCACACACACACACAGGCGCTCTCACGCACACGCCCACGGTACGCACACATGCACGCCGACAACACATGACTCCTCCATCAGCCAAACATTCATTTATTCACACAATGCCCAAACGTGTCTGGCTGATAAACGCACAGCCAGAGCTGCTGCTGCAGCCGGTTTGACCACTAGTCCGTTTTACGGACGTCCGACGGACAGCAGCCAACGCGCGTCAACGGAGACGCGCCCGGTGGGGTCCAGGCCTTAGTTTAACATCAATCCGTTGGAAAAAACAGGACGAAAACACAGGAAGTAAAGCCGAGTCAGAGGCGCGCTGCATTCTGGGGGATATAGGCATAGGCTTCTCGACCTATCACAGCCAAGTGTGAACCGCAAAACTTTCTGGGAAATGCATAAACAAGAACCACACGATGCGTAGCGTACATGGATCTAAAGATTGTTTTTCAATGCTGTGTCAATGGTTATGCACGTCTGTGCGAGGCATAGCATGTGCGGTGTGGCAGAGGCAGTGGACACAGAGACCTGATGCATGCGGCGAAAACAAGAGATGAAGTTTTTCCTCCGTGCGGCTATCAGAGAGTAGCCTGGCTCTGCCAGACCCTTGTAGTTCTGCCATGCTCCACCAGAGGCGTTTGGCTGAACCACATGGGTCTGGTATCGAGCCCATAGCGAACGAACGCCTTCCCCAGATTATTTTTTAATCGACCAATCAGGATTGCCGGTGTTACGTGGGGTTTGCACTACCTCCTCAAGCTTCTCTCATGCAGCAGCGAGAGAAATCCAAGATGGCGGACGTAAAGTCCGCGAATCTTTTTAAAAGAATAAATACGATCGAATTAAGACACAGATGTCACTTTTAATGCAATTTGAGGCGAGATGTAGATGGTTCTATGTTGATATATGTGTGTTTTAAGAGTCAAATGTTCCTTTAAAGTTTGGTTTACACACTATGCAGCAGGGTTGCCAGGTTTGGTGGTTCCCGCATATTTTTTTCCAAGAGACTTGTAGGTATTAAATAAACAGAAAGACAATAAACAGAATCATGATAGCCCAAGTTGATTATATTATGTTTTTAGCCAAAAAATCATTCTGAGTGTTTTCTTTTGGGGGTATTCTCGTGGATTTTGGGTTGGAAAATCTTGCTGGGATTTGGCAACCTATGGGAGTCGTGTGCTTCGATGTGAGTGGTTGAAAGCAGACTTCATTCAAGATAACTGACAAGTGGTCTATCCAATCACATACAAGGATTTTTTTTACACGGCCCTGCCTTCTGAAATCCAACCACTATGGCTCAGTACCAGACTCATGTGTGAAGTGCAGCCAACTACATGGGTCTGGCCAGAGTCAGGCTAATCAGAGAGCCGTCATGGGGACGAAAAACAGGAGATAAACCAGGACTAAACCAGGATTTCACCAGGACTAACTATGGAGGAGACTGCTTGTGAACATATTCCTCGAGCCTCATTCCCTGTGACTGTAAACAAGGCTGCTAACGTGTGTAGTCGACACGACAAACGTATTTATTCAGGTAAAAATGCAAAATCTTTAATGCTTTGAAAATATTAGAAAAAATTATATCGGATTGGTATCGGCAAAACAATATTTAAGAACATCGGGATCGGATTACAACAAATCTGGATCGGTACATCCCTAGACACGAGTATTGACAGGCGCCTGCTGAAAGCCCGTTGTACTCGCTGAATAATGTTGGGAGCCGTTTTATAAATTATAATTCAATATTCGAATATATTCAAATGTTTCAATTATTAAACAAACGAACTTCAAATATGATTTTTGTACAAAAGTCAAAGCCCTAGTGAGTACTAAAGCTTATAATAGGTTTTTGATGTGTGCATTCGAACTAAAATACCGGCAATAGCAGCTCACACAACTGTGTCGCTGCTCCTCCTTCGCATCCTCCACAGTGAGTCCATAGCTCCATACACAGCGCTCCTTCCCGTCTCTAACTCACTCACTCAGACCACTAAAGTTGGTCTGTGCTTGTTATGATGTACTTTTGAACAAGAAAAGTCACGGAGCTCAGTGGTGTGCCACAATAATCGGTCCGTCTGAAACAAGAACGTTCCGCAGTGGAAAAAACACATGCAATCAAAATGCTTTATTTTATTTTTTTAACGCACAAATTTTTGTGGCGTTAATTAATCGTAATTAACGCGTTAAAGTCTCGGCCATATGGAAGAACATATGGAAGAAGGAGGCAGCACATAACAGAAGTGCACAATGGCTGGTGTCCCTGAGAGAGGAGCACAGCCACCTCCCAGAACAGAACTCAGTTACCATCACAGAGGCAGACATCCGAGAAAGAGTCTCAGGTATGAAAAACTGGACAGCACCTGGCCCTGATATGGTCCATGCCTACTGGCTAAGGACACTCACATCACTCCATGAGCGCCTAGCAGCACAAATGAGCCAGTTGCTGAGAGATGGGACTCACCCAGAATGGCTAACCGAAGGGCGAACGGTCCTGATCATGAAGGACGTGCAGTCCCCTCCAACTACCGGCCAATAACCTGTCTCTCCACAACATGGAAGCTCATGTCAGGCATCATTGCGGCTAAGATAAGTGGGCATATGGAACAATTCATGAGCACAGCACAGAAGGGCATTGGTAGGGACACCAGAGGAGCCAAACACCAGCTCCTGGTTGACAGAACAGTCGCCCAAGACTGCCGGTCACGACACACCAACCTGTGCACAGCCTGGATTGATTACCAGAAAGCCTACGACTCAATGCCACACACATGGATCATGGAATGCTTGAAGTTGTACAATATCAACAGGGCTCTAAGGGACTTCGTTGCAAACTCGATGGGAATGTGGAAGACCACCCTTGAGGCAAATAGCAAGCCGCTCGCACAAGTGACCATCAAATGTGGTATCTACCAAGGAGATGCTCTGTCCCCACTACTGTTCTGCATAGGCCTCAACCCTCTAAGCCAAGTAATTGACCAGACTGGCTATGGATACCGCCTCAGGAACGGAGCAAAGATCAGTCACCTCCTCTACATGGATGTCATCAAGCTGTACGCCAAGAGCGAGAGAGACATCGACTCTCTGATCCAAACAACCAGGATCTACAGCCATGACATCGGGATGTCATTCGGGCTCGAGAAATGTAGCAGGATGGTGACTCGGAGAGGCAAGGTAGTCCACACAGAAGGGATCTCACTCCCAGAGGGAACAATAGCAGACGTTGAGGACAGTTACAAGTATCTCAGTATACCACAGGCAAATGGCAACCTCGAACAAATACCTCCAGCGAGTAAGGCAGGTCCTAAGAAGCCGGCTCAATGGCAAGAACAAGGCCCGGGCAATTAACAGCTACGCCCTGCCAGTGATCCGATACCCTGCAGGAATAATCAGGTGGCCAAAGGAAGAGATTCAGACCACGGATGTTAAAACTCGAAAGCTCCTTACCATGCATGGCGGGTTCCATCCCAAATCCAGCACCCTGAGACTGTACGTAAGCCGTAAAGAAGGAGGCAGAGGACTAGTGAGTGTGAGAGCCACTGTCCAGGACGAAACATCCAAACTCCATAACTACATCATGGAGAAGGCCAAAACGGATGACGTACTCAGTGAATGTCTCAGGCAGTGGCGAGATGAGGAGGTGCTGGAGGAGAGCCCATCATGGGAGAACAAGCCCCTACACGGCATGTACCACCGGAACATAACAGAAGTGGCTGATCTCAAGAAGTCCTACCAATGGCTAGAAAGGGCTGGCCTACAGGACAGCACAGAGGCACTCATCATGGCTGCACAGGAACAGGCACTGAGCACCAGAGGCCCAGATATACCACACCAGACAAGACCCAAGGTGTCGGTTGTGCAAAGAGGCACCTGAGACGATCCAACACATAACTGCAGGGTGCAAGATGCTGGCAGGGAAGGCCTACATGGAACGCCATAACCAAGTGGCTGGCATAGTGTACAGAAACATCTGTGCAGAGTATGGGCTGGAAACCCCAAGGTCTAAGTGGGAAACTCCTCCAAAGGTGGTGGAGAATGAGCGTGCAAAGATCCTGTGGGACTTCCAGATACAGACCGATCGAATGGTAATGAACCAACCTGACATCGTGGTGGTAGACAAAGGGCAGAGGACAGCCGTGGTGGTGGACGTGGCAATTCCAAGCGATGGTAACATCCGGAAAAAAGAACATGAAAAGCTTGAGAAATACCAAGGTCTCAGAGAGGAGCTGGAGAGGGCCTGGAGGGTAAAGGTCACAGTAGTGCCCGTGGTGATCGGTGCACTCGGGGCAGTGACCCCGAAGCTAGTGTTGTATTTATAAATACGTGACATTCCAAAACCATGTGTTTTATGACCTAGCTAACCTCTAAAGGCGCGTTCAGACCAAAAGCTTCAAAAAGCTTTTGACGCGCTTCAACTGACGCCGGGATAGTTTTGTCATTTTGGTGCTTGAAGCTTTTGACGCGAGTGACGCGCCTGACGCCGGTGGGAGGAGCTTCTCTGTTGCCTGTAGTCAGGACAGCGGTGGATTTTTCAATGAGCAGTGAGCCTTTATTTGTTATATAAAGCAAAATAACGTTGTTGTAGGGCTTCAACAAAACATGTTCTGGGTTCACCACAGACTTGAGAGGCTGCAGTGTTTGCAGAGTTCCGTCATTTACTCCAGGAGCTGCGTACGGAGGAGTTTCGCTTTCAGCGGTACTTCCGCATGTCACTCGCCCAGTCTGAGTTCTCAAACCCCGGAGCTCGCCTCTCCCCGGCTCTCCCTGCCTCTCGCCGGCTCTCGCTCGCAAACCCCGGAGCTCGCCTCTCCCCGGCTCTCCCTGCCTCTCCCCGGCTCTCGCCCGCTCGGAGCTGCCTTGCTCTGAGCCAGACTCATCGTCAGCCTGTTCTTATTTTAAATAAACTACGTTTACTACACAGCATGTATACAATGATTTTTGTTACTCAGAATGTTACTACTCATACAAATAATATTACTAATAACAATAATGACAATAAAACAGCAGCAGTAGATACATGACTTCTCTTCATGACAGAGACAGACCCTCTGCTGCTGCTGCTCCTCGTCTCCTGATTGGTTGAAGCCCGCGTCAAAGCTTCAAAAGCTCAGCTTTGCTCAGCTTCGGCGTCAAAGGGATTGTTGTGATACGCGAGCGTTTCGCGCGTCAAAAGCTTCAAGTGAGCGCGTAGTACGCGCGACTCTTGAAGCTTTTGACGCGCGTCAAGTGACGCCGGGGCTCTCGGCTTCACCTGACGCGCTTCACCATTCACTTTCAATGGAAACCTGACGCTTTTGACGCCGAAGTTAAGTCCGGTGTGAACGCCCCTTAAGTGGGAGGCCAGTCCTTCTTATTTTATTTTAGGTGTCTTCTTGTGCCAGCAACTAGAGTCCAGTCCTCCTCTGTCAGACCCTCTCTCCAGAAACACAGGAGACGCTCCAGGGTCCGACCCGGCCTCAGGCCCAGGTGGACTCCCAGTGCCTCCCAGTCCTCCAGCTGAGGACCACTGACATTGTGGAGCTGCTGCACCGAGACTACCCCCCCCAAACTGAAACGGCCCCGCAGCACAGGCCCCGCCCAGGCAGGAAACTCCAGGGGCCGCTGTAGGAGCCAGTGCAGAGAGGAGCTCTGCCTCTGCCTCTTCACTCTGCTCCACACCGAGAACAGCCCACAGTAGAAGGACGGGAGTCCAGCTGGTGTGTGGTCACTAAGGAACCCTGGGAGCCCCAGTCCCCCCGCCCTCTGCAGGATGGAGACTGCCAACGGTCTCCACAGCAGCTCCTCTGGCCCAGCTACCAGTCTCTGGAGAAACTGTAGCCTAAAAGCAGCTCCTCGGCTGGCCAGATGGACCAGACCTTGGCCTCCCTGCTCCTTCGGCAGAAACAGCACTGCCTGGGGGACCCAGTGCAGCTTGTCCCAGAAGAAATCTGAGATCAGTCTCTGGATCTGTGAGAGTAAAGAGGGAGGTGGGTCTGTGCTCTGCAGCTTGTGCCACAGAGCGGAGGACACCAGGTTGTTGGCAACGAGGACCCTCCCTCTGTAAGACATTTTAGGCAACAGCCACCTCCATTTACTCAACCGCCCTTTAACTTGCTCCAGAGACTGATCCCAGTTCCTCCGGACATGACCAGGGCCGACGAACACCCCCAGGTGTTTAAAACCCCCTGTCCTCCACACCAGTCCCCCAGGCAGGCTGAGACCCCTCAGACCCTCCCCGAGCAGAGTGGCAGAGCTCTTGCTCCAGTTCACCCTGGAGCTGGAGACCTGACCAAAGACCTGCACCGTGTCAGCCAGGACCTCCACATCCCTCTGGCTGTTAACGAACACAATAAGATCATCTGCGTACGCAGAGACCTTAAATGGTCGTGCTCCAGGCAGCAGCACCCCCTGCAGGTCAGCTCTGAGCCGATGCAGAAGGGGCTCGATGGAGAGGGAGTAGAGCATCCCAGACAGAGAGCAGCCCTGCCTGATGCCCCTCCCCACACTGAACGGCGCACTGAGCCCCCCATTCACCTTCAGTACACTCATGACGTCACAATACAGAGTCCGGATGTGGGCGATGAACCCAGGGCTGAACCCAAAGGCAGCCATGGTCTGCCAGAGGTACTGGTGTTCAACCCGGTCAAACGCCTTTTCCTGGTCTATGGAAATCAGTCCCAGGTTGATTCCCAATGAGCCGGAGACCTCCAAAACATCTCTGATCAGGGCGATGTTATCCCCTATGAGCCTGCTGGGCACACAGTACGTCTGGTCCACGTGGATGACCGAGGCCATGACCCCTCTCAGCCGGGACGCCAACACCTTGGACAGGATCTTGTAGTCCATGCAGAGCAGCGACACCGGCCTCCAGTTCTTTAGGAGCTGCAGATCACCCTTCTTTGGGAGCAAAGTCAGTACTGCTCTTCTGCAGCTCAGGGGCAAACGACCGCTCTCCAGACTGTCCATAAAGACCTCCAGAAGGTCTGGCCCCAAGACGTCCCAGAAGGCCTTGTAAAAATCGGCCGAAAGTCCGTCTATGCCCGGAGCTCTGCCTGGTTTTAGACTCCCCACCGCAGAGCCCAAGTCAGCCAGAGTCAGTGGGGCCTCCAGCTTCATATTGTCCTCATCACTGACCTGAGGCAGACCGTCCCCAAACCGGCCTCCCATAACAGACCCGGGACGCAGCTCAGAGCTATACAAATGTTCATAAAAGCCTGCGGCAAAGCTCCTGACCTCGGCAGAGTCTGTGATGAGGCGACCGCCGTCCGAGCGCAGAGACTGGATGATCCTCTTCTGCCCGTTCTTTACCTCCAGACTGAAGAAGAACTGAGAGGGTACATCCATCTGGGTCAGATCCATGTGGCGGGACCGGACCAGAGCCCCCTGTGCAGAGGTGCCCAGCAGGCTGGCCAGAGCCGACTTTTGTACTTTGAGGGACTGTAAACACCCCCGTTCTCCTGTAGAAGCTGCTAAACGCTGCAGTTCTACCACTGTAGTCTCCAGCTCCTTCACAAGCCGGGCCCTGTCTCTTGTGACACCATGAGTGTACTCCTGACACAGCTGCCTTATCTGCACTTTCCCATAGTCCCACCATCGCTGCAGACTCACAAAGTGGGCCTTACACCGCTGGTGGGACTCCCAAAACACTTTAAAAGCACAAACAAACATTTTATCCAAAAGCAGTGAATTATTAAAGTGCCAGTAAGCACTGCCCACCCGCACATTAGACACCCGAATTACACAAACAATAAAACTGTGGTCAGAGATGCCCACAGGACTGATGTGAGCCGCAGTGCACATGCTCAGCTGGTGTCCCGGAACATACACTCGGTCCAAACGGGCCAGAGACAGAGCATTGTCCTTACAGTGGGACCACGTGTACTCACGGACCCCTGGGTGCAGAGTCCTCCACACGTCCTCCAGACTGTGGACCTCCAACAGCCGCCTCAGCCTGAGGGAGGAGGCCGGGTGGGGCTCAGGGTGGTTCCTGTCCTGCTGTGGTTCCACAGTACAGTTCCAGTCCCCGGCCACGAACAGGACGTCCCCAGAGTCTGTGCAGTCCCTGATGCATTCACACAGAGTGTCCATCATCAGGACCCTCTGTGCTCCAGTGCACGGCAGGTACACACACACAAATGTTACTGTAGTGGTCTCCAACTGTGCACGTACCAGGAGCAGGCGGCCCGCTACCACCTCCTCAGTCTCTACACTCACTGGAAGACACCTCCTGGAGAACAACACTGATACTCCTGCACTGGAGGCGGAGCCATGACTGAGAACCAGCTGGCCCCCCCACTCCCTCCTCCAGTCTGACTCTATCTCTGCAGTACTGTGTGTCTCCTGTAGGAGCACCACATCTACTCCCTTCATCTGCAAGAACTGGAACAGAGCAGCTCGCTTCGCTCTGTCCCGGCAACCATTAATATTTAAACTGCCTATTTTAAAGTCACACATAAGGAAAAAATGAAAAAACACTAACAAAGTGGGATACTGAGATCAGTTAGGACCCTCACTGGCCACTTGGGCCCTGACTTTGCTCAGGAGTTTCTTGAGCCTGAATCTCTCCTGGTCTGTGAGAGCGTCCTCATCCTGAGAGCTGGAGCTCCACACCAGGGGCCGGGCCGTCTCAGAGAAAAGCTTCAGGTTAGGAAAATAGTTTTCTACCTTTACACTCCTCATCCCTTTAGTGTCTCTCAAAAACTTTCCTGAATCCAATTGAGAATCTGTGGAAAGAGCTGAAGACTGCTGTTCACAAATGCTCTCCATCCAACCTCACTGAGCTCGAGCTGTTTTGCAAGGAAGAATGGGAAAGAATTCCAGTCTCTCGATGTGCAAAACTGATAGAGACATACCCCAAGTGACTTGCAGCTGTAATTGCAGCAAAAGGTGGCGCTACAAAGTATTAGCGCAAGGGGGCCGAATAATATTACACGCCCCACTTTTCAGTTTTTTATTTGTTAAAAAAGTTTAAATTATCCAATAAATTTCGTTCCACTTCACGATTGTGTCCCACTTGTTGTTGATTCTTGACAAAAACATTTTTTTTATATCTTTATGTTTGAAGCCTGAAATGTGGCGAAATGTTGAAAGGTTCAAGGGGGCCGAATACTTTCGCAAGGCACTGTACTTACGTATAGTTTAACAAAATCAAATACATGAGAGCTGCAGCGCCAGACACAGACAAAAACCTGCGGAGAAGAGGGTTCTGACTCAGAGCTGTGACCACTGTGGAAATGAAAACATGTAATAATACCAGCAGCTCCTCACCAGCGGCTACACCACCTCTGCTGCTGCTGGTTTACTTTACTGCTGTTGTTAGTCACTGGTCTCTCTCTGGTCTCTCTCTCTGGTCTCTCTCTCTGGTCTCTCTCTCAGGTCTCTCTCTCTGGTCTCTCTCTCTCTCTGGTCTCTCTCTCAGGTCTCTCTCTCTGGTCTCTCTCTGGTCTCTCTCTGGTCTCTCTCTGGTCTCTCTCTGGTCTCTCTCTGGTCTCTCTCTGGTCTCTCTCTCTGGTCTCTCTCTCTGGTCTCTCTCTCAGGTCTCTCTCTCTGGTCTCTCTCTCTGGTCTCTCTCTCTGGTCTCTCTCTGGTCTCTCTCTGGTCTCTCTCTGGTCTCTCTCTGGTCTCTCTCTGGTCTCTCTCTGGTCTCTCTCTGGTCTCTCTCTGGTCTCTCTCTCTGGTCTCTCTCTCTGGTCTCTCTCTCTGGTCTCTCTCTCTGGTCTCTCTCTGGTCTCTCTCTGGTCTCTCTCTCTGGTCTCTCTCTCTGGTCTCTCTCTCTGGTCTCTCTCTCTGGTCTCTCTCTGGTCTCTCTCTGGTCTCTCTCTGGTCCTGGTCTCTCTCTGGTCTTAAATCCAGTTTAAACACAGGCTGCAGCCCACAGGGAGGAGTGATGAAGACGAGCTGTTATTAACCACACTGTGATTTGATGAAGTAAAGTCTGTAATGAGACTGAAAACTACATCAGTAAATATCCGGAGTCCTGAAACCACCAGAGTAAAGACATGACGAGGGCTGGAGCACGATATATGACGACGATTTTAAGAACGCTTCCATAGACTTCAACATGAGAGGTTTATGTCATGCGTCGGTGCAACATCCTTAAAGTGATAGTCTGGAGTTTGTCAGAGAAAAGAGAGAGGGACATGATATGGCGGCACGGTGGCTGAGTGGATAGCACTCTCGCCTCTCAGCAAGAAGGTCCTGGGTTCGAATCCCGGTCGGACCAGGGCCTTTCTGAGTGGAGTTTGCATGTTCTCCCCGTGTCTGCGTAGGTTTCCTCCGGGTACTCCGGTTTCCCCTACCACTAAAAATATGTCCAATAGGTCTGGCATGCGCCTCCTGTTCGGCGACCCCGCTCCCATCTCTGTGTGGAGTGAGAGACAAGTGCCCAAAAATAACAATTGTAAACCTCTTTGAGAAGTAAATAAAGATAAATAAAGATTACTAGAAAAAACAAACGACCCACGCTCCTCCCCCTTCCTTTCTGACTGGTCTTGAAGTCACGCCTACTTTTCCGTGTATGTGCCAGAGGAGAGATTATTCATTTAAATATTTGAATATTTAATCATAATGTATTACACGCTCTTCACAGCAGCAGGAGAACGCTCCATTGAGTTGAGACAAATCATTATTTCTTGATAACAGACTCTCAAACCAATAATGACCGCTGCCCTTTGGCAACGCACTCTGTGCTTGTACTTCAGGTGTAAAATAAATCATGAATCAACAACAAGTGGGACACAATCGTGAAGTGGAACGAAATTTATTGGATAATTTAAACTTTTTTTAACAAATAAAAAACTGAAAAGTGGGACGTGCAATATTATTCGGCCCCTTTACTTTCAGTGCAGCAAACTCAGTCCAGAAGTTCAGTGAGGATCTTTGAATGATCCAATGTTGTCCTAAATGACTGATGATGATAAATAGAATGCTCCTGTGTGTAATCAAGTCTCTGTATAAATGCACCTGCTCTTTGATAGTCTCAGGGTTCTGTTTAAAGCGCAGAGAGAACCATGAAGACAAAGGAACACACCAGGCAGGTCCGAGATACTGTTGTGGAGAAGTTTCAAGCCGGTGTAAAATACTAAGATTACTCTGACAGTAGTTCGTACACTTCGTCACAACGAGCTTTCAGCGTCTGTCACTTATTACTTCTGTCTGAGCAAGAGAAGCTATCGAAGCTAGCCACGCTCACTAACACAAATATCAATCAATCAACACATTTAAATGTTAATCGGAGAATACATTATACATTTACATTCTTAACATACGTGCACGGAGATTTTCAGAATTATCTGGTAACGTTTTCATGACAAAAATACTTTTTTAATGAGTCAAAAAGTGATCGGGGTGAACCCCTAAGTAACCATTAACATGAGCAGAACATTTTAGGACACATTTGTAGAGGATCTGATCATGGATTTAGGTTGAATTTAAACAGTATTTGAGTCACTCACTGCTGATGTTCAGAATTCTTTGTTCAGTTTTCATCTAGTTCCAGGGAGTTCAAGTTAGTGAGCTAGCCTAGCTGTTACCCGGCTAGCCTACAGTCTATGGTCTGGCAACGTCAGGGTGAAACCTTTGGGAACTAACTATTTTAAATATATCATTTAAAAAAGATAATGCTCATTACAGCTTTGAATATAAAGGACTGACTAATATTTGTTTGGTGACTTTTTGAAAAATGCTAATGAAGGATTTAGCATTTTACTTTTGGACCAGAGCAGAGAAAATGGTCCGAACCAAGCGGGTACTCCACCTTTTGACTCCACCTCTGCTGCTGTGACTTGTCCTGCTCCACCCAGAGGCTACTCCACCTCTGCTGCTGTGACCTGTCCTGCTCCACCCAGAGGCTACTCCACCTCTGCTGCGGTGACCCGTCCTGCTCCACCCAGAGGCTACTCCACCCAGAGGCTACTCCACCTCTGCTGCTGTGACCCGTCCTGCTCCACCCAGAGGCTACTCCACCTCTGCTGCTGTGACCCGTCCTGCTCCACCCAGAGGCTACACCACCTCTGCTGCTGTGACCCGTCCTGCTCCACCCAGAGGCTACACCACCTCTGCTGCTGTGACCCGTCCTGCTCCACCCAGAGGCTACTCCACCTCTGCTGCTGCGACCTGTCCTGCTCCACCCAGAGGCTACTCCACCTCTGCTGCTGTGACCTGAAGGGCTGTTGCTGATTATTACTATTATTATATTTTTAGAATGATAAATTTTATTCTTATTTTTGCTGCTACTGGACACCTGAATTTCTCCTACAGGGATCAATAAAGTATCTATCTATCTAGAGTCACAACAGACGTCATAGAGTCACAACAGACATCATAGAGTCACAACAAGCAGACGTCATAGAGTCACAACAAGCAGACATCATAGAGTCACAACAGACATCATAGAGTCACAACAAGCAGACGTTATAGAGTCACAACAAGCAGACATCATAGAGTCACAACAAGCAGATGTCATAGAGTCACAACAAGCAGACATCATAGAGTCACAAGCAGACATCATAGAGTCACAACAAGCAGACATCATAGAGTCACAACAGACATAGAGTCACAACAAGCAGACGTTATAGAGTCACAACAAGCAGACATCATAGATGAGACCAGAGTCACTGGTCTCTCTCTGGTCTCTCTCTGGTCTCTCTCTGGTCTCTCTCTGGTCTCTCTCTGGTCTCTCTCTGGTCTCTCTCTGGTCTCTCTCTGGTCTCTCTCTGGTCTCTCTCTGGTCTCTCTCCCTGGGGAAAATCCTCCCAAATACCTCCATATAATAACTCTTATGATTTATGTATTTTTCACTGCAAAAACCATAGTTTCTTTGGTGATAGTTAGCGACTGTATTATCTCCCCCATCGTAAACCCATGTCATCCTGAACAATTACTCTCTCTGGTCCCTGTCTGTCTCTGGTAACTGTCTGTCTCTGGTCCCTGTCTGTCTCTGGTAACTGTCTGTCTCTGGTAACTGTCTGTCTCTGGTAACTGTCTGTCTCTGGTAACTGTCTGTCTCTGGTAACTGTCTGTCTCTGGTCCCTGTCTGTCTCTGGTCCCTGTCTGTCTCTGGTCCCTGTATGTCTCTGGTCCCTGTCCGTCTCTGGTCCCTGTCCGTCTCTGGTCCCTGTCCGTCTCTGGTCCCTGTCCGTCTCTGGTCCCTGTCCGTCTCTGGTCCCTGTCCGTCTCTGGTCCCTGTCTGTCTCTGGTCCCTGTCTGTCTCTGGTCCCTCTCTCTGGTCCCTCTCTTTGGTGTCCCTCTCTCTCTCCTACTGGACTCTCCCTCTTACTGGTCCGTCTTACTGGTCTCTCTCTGGTCTCTCTCTCTGGTCTCTCTCTCTGGTCTCTCTCTCTGGTGTCTCTCTCTGGTGTCTCTCTCTGGTGTCTCTCTCTGGTGTCTCTCTCTGGTGTCTCTCTCTGGTGTCTCTCTCTGGTGTCTCTCTCTGGTGTCTCTCTCTGGTGTCTCTCTCTGGTGTCTCTCTCTGGTGTCTCTCTCTGGTCTCTCTCTGGTCTCTCTCTGGTCTCTCTCTGATCTCTCTCTGATCTCTCTCTGGTCTCTCTCTGGTCTCTCTCTGGTCTCTCTCTGGTCTCTCTCTGGTCTCTCTCTCTGGTCTCTCTCTGGTCTCTCTCTGGTCTCTCTCTGGTATCACATCTTTCCTCTTAATAAATAACATGCATAATCACACTTCTCGTTGCTTTGCTGACAGGGTTAGCGTCTATACAGAACATTTCTCCATGTGTCCCAAAGTAAAGCCCTTTATATGTTTAGTTTCTGAGTATATTCTCCAGTTTCCTCTTACTTTGGTGATGGCCAGCGGCTCTCCGTGCTCCAGTCCTCCCTTCAGCGTGAATCCCCAGGGCGCTCCCCCGCTCAGATGGACCTGTGCGTGGGCATAAGTGGCCCGCTCCATGCCGCTGTCCGGGGCTGCTACTGGGGGTCCTCTCGCCGCCCGTAGAGGCTGCTTCTGGGGGTCCTTCAGCACGGCATCAGGGGGAGTTTTAGCGGGACTTCAGGCTCCATCTCCAGGCGTGAAGAGCTCAGATCCTGCAGGACTGGACCGGGACTGGACTGTGGACCAGGACTGGACCAGGACGAGAGGAGGAGGAGGAGGAGCGAGACTTTGGAGACTTTTGAAAAACTGGAGGAATTCTGACAAGGCGGGGCTTAGTCATCTACGTCACACACGAGAGACAATACAGCATTTAAAGCTGGGGTACCTAACTTTATTTTTTATTTTTTTTTATTATTCCGACAGAAAGAGTCTTGTCAAAGTAAAATGGTGTGATTCAATCGGTCTTCATCTCATTAAAAACACGTGATATTTTTGTCAGAAAGAGCCCAGATAGTCTCTATTTGACATTTTGGGCTGAGAGCTGAGATATTCACTGATGATCTACAATAGTCTAAATTCTTAATCTATTTTTAAATTTGTACACCCCTGCAATTTTTGTAATGTTGAATGTGCACTTGTTCAATGTTTTCTTTTTCTTTTTTGCAGAGAACCATTGTTGAGGTCTAAAAGTTACGTAGCCAAGCTTTAAAGTTGTGCAAACTATTATACTGTTATAACTGAAAAATAGTTTATGAGCGCAGTTATGGCCGAAAGATATAAGGAGGTGGCGCCACCTTCTGGAGATCACCGTAACTGCACCTATAGTTTCCGCGGCTTTCTGTGGGAACTATAGAAACCAGAGACCAGAAAGAGAGAAAAGAGGGAGAACAGAAAGAGTAGAGACCAGAGACAGTGAGAGATCAGTAAGAGAGAAAACTGATAGACAGAGAAAAGCCAGATAGACCAGAGACAGAAAGGGAGACCAGAGAGAGAGACCAAAAGGAGAGCAAAGAGGGAGAGACCAGATATAGAGAGACCAGAGAGAGACTGAGAAAGAGCAAAGAGAGAGAAATCAGAGAGACCAGAAAGAAAGAAAAGAGAGAGAGACCAGAGAGAGAGAAGGCAAAAATAGAGAGACGAGAGACCAGAAAGAGAGAAAAGAGATCAGAGACAGAGACCTCATTCTTCATTAATAAACTGTTTTTATTAATGAATGAGAAGATTGGACAGTTTGAATCTTAAAATATTTCAAATACAAACTGAACAGTTGGTGTATAAAAGTATGAAGAAGCCACAGCTTGTGTCATTTTAGTTTTCTGCTTGTGCGTCATGATCCGTTTGCTCCTGTGTCAATCATTTTTGCACAAACACAAACATCTAATAAATATAACTCTTGGTCAGCAGCCCAGCCTCATCCAGAATCCATGAAGGCCGATGGAGAAGTGCTCAGCTGTGAAGTTTAGCTCCATCTCACTCTGGCTCCTCTGGACTCACTTTCTGTCCATATATCGACCACACAACGATAAAAGTGATTCATGTTTCATAGGTCTTTAGTTCTTAACAGCAAATAGAAAAACAAACTCCATAGACGACTTATAACTGGACGCAACATGTTTTGAATAATATTATAACTTCTGATTTGTTACGGGAGCTCTGAGGAGACAGGCATTAACCGTTAGCCTCCATGTTGGGTCTCATTTACCCATTTGTTTTGACAATAAATAACTTATAACTACTAAACCTGGATAGATTTAAAATACCAGCTCCTTAAACTCTGCTTCGTCAACAGTCCTAATCACATTATCATGAGTCCTGTGTATTTCCCGGGTTTTCCATTGGCTCTCTGCTGTTCACATAAACATAAACCACAGCTGATAGAGCATTGTCCAAATGATGATAATCCTATTGTCAGAACCAACCCTTCTGTCCAAACGCTCCCTTTGTTTAACTCGTTACACTATGATTATCAACGTTATTGACAGATATGTTTTACAACTGACATCTTTCAAATATCTATCTGTCTATCTATATCTACAAATGACAGAAAAGCAGACCCACAGAGAGAGATGGAATGCACGGTGTTGTATTAAATATAGACTAAAAGCAGATGTGAATTTGATTGACCCTGATTTGAACAGTCTCTTTCCTAAGCAAAAAGACCTGGTCTCCCCTTCTTCCTTTGTAGTCCAAAGTGCAGAATATGAGTTAATGATAGTTAATCTGGGGGGGCCAAGATCTGCATTCCTAGATTCTGCTAATCCTTTCCGTTGTTTGGAGAAGGAGTTGGACCCAGAATCTGGAGGGACAGCCTTTAAGAGCCTCCTGTCTTATCTCAAGGAAGTAATATTTCTATAGAATTAGGGAGGGGTAGTGTGTGTGAATGATTCTGTTTTAGGTCTGGCGAGACGGAGGAAAGGCTGGACCCTGGACCGAGAGCTGACTGATACGACACGCCCCCTTCTTCCTGGACATCTGCTGATATGCTCTGGCTTGAGGCGGGGGCTCAGTCAGCACAGGGCCAGAGAGGGACATGGATAGTTTTAGGAGCTCTCTTGTTGAATGTACCTGATTGTAACGATAAATTAAATACAGATGTTAAACTTGGAGATCTTTTGTCTTACTTCTGCATCAACTTTGAACACGTCCGTCAAAGGGTATTTTTGACATCAACGGTCTTGGTCTGGGTCAGGACTTGGTCTGGGTCAGGTCCCCAGCCCCTTCTGTCTGTCTGCCATGGATAAAAGATGACTCACGACTGCATGCCTTAAATTAGACGAGAAACAACAGCGAGAATCAAGTCCCACCTCCAGACCGAATCCAGACTCACCTCTAGACCCACCTCCAGAGCAACCTCCAGACCCACCACTAGACCCACCTTTAGACCCACCTCCAGAGCAACCTCCAGACCCACCACTAGACCCACCTTTAGACCCACCTCCAGAGCAACCTCCAGACCCACCACTAGACCCACCTCCAGACCGAATCCAGACCCACCACTAGACCCACCTCCAGGGCTGAACCAGAGCAAAGCCCTCGTCCTCAAGTAACTCTAAATGGCAATATACTTATTAACAACAACAAATAACGTATTCATATTTTAGGGTTTTTCCATTGTGTGTCAATTTCATGTTTTTAAACTTGTAATATTTGACGCTCACGTGTTTCTATGGCGGTTAGAGTTTATTTTGCAGATTTTGTTGTTGTCCTTTTTGTACCTTTAATTTTACATAACAGGTTCAAACAGTATTAATCAACAGTACATTACACTTAAAATTACAAAATAAGAGAAATCTTATCTCTGACTGTGGCACTTTCTACAACATGAAAAGTCAATGTTCTCAAGAAAACCCTGAACAAAAGTCTAACACAGAATAAGGTCCGTGTACCTTCCGTTCATTCTATTTTCGTTTCTGACGTGCACATCGAAAAACAAACTCTGGGACTTTTTCTTTTTTCCATTGTTGAAAAAAGATATTGAAAAACCCTCTTCCTCAATTTTTCCGACTTAGAAATTGGTTCGAGGTGAAAGGTCTTGTATTTCAATTTTTGTTTTACAACATTCATTTTTAGGGTTTTCAGTGTGGTGGCCCAGAAGAGAAAATGTTGGCGCCCCCTTCAGTCAGTTTTCTCACTATTCAGAGGAGACCACGACACGTGCAAGTTTAAGGGAGTAAAGTTGAGTCGAAATGAACGGGCCAAACTACATTTTGTTCAAAGGAACAAAGCGTCTGACTTTAAATGAGGATGACATGATTGCGGAAAAAATTGCCCGCATATTCCAGGTGGTTAACACCTTTCTGGTTTACTTGTGGAACATGCTAACTTTTTAAGGATGCTAACATTACAGTTTGCATGCACGTTGCTTAGCAAACTTTTTTTGACATCATGTAATATAGGTAATAAGATTTATCTGTATGGCGAACGGCAATGGACACAGTAAGAAGAGGCTGTACGTGCCGTTCATAAAGTGTTTCTATTTCAAAGGTATACGCTCCTAGCCTGTATATAACAGATGATGACAACGTCGCAATTTTTCCCGGAACGAGCGGGCATTTCAGCTGTTTCGACCTGCGCCCTCGTGGGCACTACGAAGTCCACAGGGACGACATCGCAGAACAGGTACCACAATCAGGGACCCGGTTCCAGTTCCAGAGAAGTAGCGCAACTGTAACGGCTGCTTTGGGATCACCTGGACAGGCTTGCAGCACTCCCCTTCGCGCAAGCATGAACACTTCATTTCAAAGGTAGTTACTCACTTTATCATTAATTAACATGCTACTGACTAATCTCTTGTCAAATTCGTTCAATAGCCCAGGGCATGCGTGCAAAGGCCATGACCAGGATAAAGCAGGGGTTGGGCTCATGTTTAGGCTGTGCCCTTTAAAGAGAACCTAAAGAGTGTCATGTCATGTCATTCTGTGTTGTACTATGTACATTTTACATTTTACATATTATCTGAACAATTCCTATAACAATCTCTCTAGGACTGTTTTCGTTGCTGAGCTCAACCAGGGAAAGCTGAGGCCTGCCCGAATGGTTGTCGTACGACTGCTTGAGTTTGAAGCTACCATCACTGGTATACTGGCTAAAATACATGATGCCCTGCAGTGTGAGGACCCTTTTGTCCTGACAGATGCTCAGGGAAATGAGATTGTGGATTCAGAGGGAACACAAGGTGTGTGTGTGTGTGTGTGTGATATTTCACTTAAATACCGTGCTCACCAAGCTGTTTACAACTATTACTTAATTTTCCTTTCTTGCTAGGTTCCAAATACTGGAGGCAAAATGCCAAAAAGTTTTTTGTTGTCCCAGAGCAGGTCTTCCATCAATTCCAGCAGGGAACAAAGGGAAAGAAACAGACGTAAGCATGTAATTACTTAAAGACTACATGATAATAATCCTTAAAGGTATGCCACATTATGACTTATTTATAAAAAATGAATAATCAATATGTGGGTGGATCAAGTCTGTCAATAATTCAGACTTTTTACAGCTAAAATTCTTATCTTTATGAATTTGCACTGGCTGGATTGACCAATCTTAAAAATTTTCTTTTCCTTTTTGCCAAAAAAACCCACCGTCATTTCTATATCAGCCCTGCTGTGATTGCCTTTGGCCCTCGGCCTCAATGACTACATCTGAACCATCACATGTGGTAATGATGTCCGCCTGAGTGCATAAATGTATTACTATTTTTGTGATTTATGTTTTCGTGATTACTTTCCAGTGGCCAGAGAGAGAGCGACTCCACAGGTCTTCTGGAGGTCCATGAAAAATAGAAGAAGTGGTTCTTGCGGCCCAAGCATTAATTGAGGTAACTCCTGTTAATGCTTGGGCCGCAAGAACCACTTCTTCTATTTTTTCATGGACCTCCAGAAGACCTGTGGAGTCGCTCTCTCTCTGGCCACTGGAATTCCTTACTATACATGTATAGTAAGGATGCATTTCGCTGCATTGTGTGCAGAGGTATGTAACGTTTGCTTGACTTATGTTTAACTGTTTGAATTGATTATTGCAGTGGTTCTCAAAGTGGGTAGGGGTACACGGGACTCCCTCTAGTGGTACGGAAAGAATCACTGAAAAAATGTAAAAAAAAAATGTTTAATTTAACCTGGAAGTACCATTTAGATTAACTCATTGACGTCAACATTATTTTTAAATCTCTTCCTGTCCGTCTGTGTATCATATACAGTGCCTTGCGAAAGTATTCGGCCCCCTTGAACCTTTCAACATTTCGCCACATTTCAGGCTTCAAACATAAAGATATAAAAATTAAATTTTTTGTCATGAATCAACAACAAGTGGGACACAATCGTGAAGTGGAACGAAATGTATTGGATAATTTAAACTTTTTTAACAAATAAAAAACTGAAAAGTGGGGCGTGCAATATTATTCGGCCCCTTTACTTTCAGTGCAGAAAACTCAGTCCAGAAGTTCAATGAGGATCTTTGAATGATCCAATGTTGTCCTAAATGACTGATGATGATAAATAGAATGCACCTGTGTGTAATCAAGTCTCCGTATAAATGCACCTGCTCTTTGATAGTCTCAGGGTTCTTTTTAAAGCGCAGAGAGAACCATGAAGACAAAGGAACACACCAGGCAGGTCCAAGATACTGTTGTGGAGAAGCACTGTGCAAGCAATTATATTGAAATGGAAGGAGTATCAGACCACTGAAAATCTACCAAGACCCGGCCGTCCCTCCAAACTTTCACCTCAAACAAGGAGAAGACTGATCAGAGATGCAGCCAAGAGGCCCATGATCGCTCTGGAGGAACTGTAGATAACTACAGCTGAGGTGGGGATGGTGTGTTCAGGGTGATGAGCTGTGTTGCTTTTACGCCAAACATATCGTTTTGCATTGTGGCCAAAAAGTTTGATTTTGGTTTCATCTGACCAGAGCACCTTCTTCCACATCTTTGGTGTGTCTCCCAGGTGGCTTGTGGCAAACTTTAAGAGACTTTTTATGGATATCTTTGAGAAATGGCTTTCTTCTTGCCACTCTTCCATAAAGGCCAGATTTGTGCAGTGCACGACTGATTGTTGTCCTATGGACAGACTCTCCCACCTCAGCTGTAGTTATCTGCAGTTCATCCAGAGTGATCATGGGCCTCTTGGCTGCATCTCTGATCAGTCTTCTCCTTGTTTGAGATGAAAGTTTGGAGGGACGGCCGGGTCTTGGTAGATTTGCAGTGGTCTGATACTCCTTCCATTTCAATATAGTTGCTTGCACCGTGCTCCTTGAGATGTTTAAAGCTTGGGACATCTTTTTGTATCCAAATCCGGCTTTAAACTTCTCCACAACAGTATCTCAGACCTGCCTGGTGTGTTCCTTTGTCTTCATGGTTCTCTCTGCGCTTTAAACAGAACCCTGAGACTATCAAAGAGCAGGTGCATTTATACAGAGACTTGATTACACACAGGAGCATTCTATTTATCATCATCAGTCATTTAGGACAACATTGGATCATTCAAAGATCCTCACTGAACTTCTGGACTGAGTTTGCAGCACTGAAAGTAAAGGGGCCGAATAATATTGCACGCCCCACTTTTCAGTTTTTTATTTGTTAAAAAAGTTTAAATTATCCAATAAATTTTGTTCCACTTTACGATTGTGTCTCACTTGTTGTTGATTCATGAAAAAAAATATCTTTGTGTTTGAAGCCTGAAATGTGGCGAAATGTTGAAAGGTTGAAGGGGGTCGAATACTTTCGCAAGGCACTGTATGTCTGGGGTTTGGCTGCAGACAGTATTTCATTAAGCCAGCACTGGCAGCAGAGCTCTGTGGGTGTCTAGGTCAAAGATCACTGCCTGAGCATTCTAAGCAGGAGAGACGGAGGTGAAGCAGACATAGAGGAAAATAGTCAGAGTCAGGCTACATTTGGAGGTGGTTTGAGCAGTAAATGTGTCTCTAGAGCTGTGTCAGCTCTGAGTCAGACCATGTGGAGGCTCAGAGCAGCAGACTATGTGAGGGTCGGGGCAGCAGACCAGTGGTGCGCCACAAAAAAGCCACAGAAATTTGGAGGCAAAATCCAATTATGGTCCCAGCGCTTGCTGGACTAAACAGAATGACACTGTAAATGTAACTACACATAAACGTGTGCATAAACGCACATACATAAGCGCCCAAACACAAAAAGACACAACAGTATTCTATTGCACTTATACTATAAATTTATAGTCTGTTCACTTTGATTTATTGTCATGTATAGTGTTTATCATTGTATTTTACTGTTATTGAAATAAATATAGCACCACCTAATGAATGTATACTGGCCATTCTTTCTGGCCTAAGTATTTATTTTATACTTTGTAGTGTTGGTCACTTGTCTTGGTACTTGCAGAGGCAAATATTTTCTGAGATGGTATTTGGTGTAAAAAGTTTGAGAACCACCGGATTATTGCACTAGATTTTTGTATGTTATAGTTGCTCTCTCAAGCATGTAAACAATCTGTATGTATAGCGGTAGTTACACTAAACTTACACTTATTGCCCCCTTTTCTTTAAAACAGGGCTGATGGAAGAACCAGTCTTTGCTGTATGCTGCAAGAGGTTTGTGGGATGCCACAAATGTGTGGACCAATGGCTGTTGACCTCTGAGCAATGCCTCAAGTGCAGGGCAGAGGATTTTGAAATGAATATTCACAGAGTTGCGTGTCTTGACACCCTCCTCTCTGCACTGACTGGTGCAATTAGGATGGATTAGGTATTGTCATAGCATTCATTCCCGTTTGGAAGTTATATGTTCCTGTTCAGTTATTTCCAGCCAGAGGTCAGAGTATTTGTTTATCTGCACTTGAGCCAAAGACTGCAATCTTAAGCAGCTTTAGTATAAATATGAAACTCTGTATTTATGTTATAAAACTGATGAATAGATAATTCTTTCATTAATGTAAAATACATAAGTACAATTTATTTAAAATTGTAATGGTATTGAAAGTTTTGAAACACTGTTGAAACAATGCATTTTATTATTATATTTAGCCATACAGTTTCAAATAAAGATGCATAACCAGTGTCTACTACATGCTAATTTCATGCACATTGTTGAGTAATGTTCATCAGACATAGCAATGCATCCTGGAAAGGAGCAGAGTTGTAATTTACAATGTTGTAAAATAAAACTGCAATATTGGGGTACACCTCTGCAAAACATTGCTCTGCAAACACTTTATCCTCCTCTGATGAAAAGAGGTCCGCTCCGAAGCAGGACACTCGAGTCAAGGAGGAGCCTACATCCTGCTCGTACATGTCAGCAGCTTGAGAGGCATGGGGCAACAACTCCAGTCCTATTTTTTTGGGACATCCTCCTGCAGCCAGACGATTTGGTGTTCCTTTGCCTGTGTGAAAAGTATTAATTTGTTAGGCAGTTAAGTTTGAATTGAACAGGACCACTACATGATGCTACCAATGTTTATGTAATTAACCTGGAATTCTATGTGCATTCCAAGCATTTACAGCTCTAGTAATGCCAATCTTGCATAGCTGACCAGGTTGGATGTGCAGTATCTGGTTATGTTGTCTTCCAAGTTGATTACTTCCTGATCCTGCAACTGCACCAGGGCCCCCTTCAGTGGAAAATTTACCCGGTTGTTTATTTCAACCCACATTCGCTCGATCATATGATTCTGGAGATGACAGGATACACAATGTGGTCCATGAAATCCAAGAAATATGGTGTGTATGTGTGGTGACAAGCACTCCCAACGAGGAATAGTCCATGCATAACATGTTTGCTTGTTCTTGTAATTTGGAAACCTTGACACATTTTACTATTAAACAATAGTGTGGAAATGAAGTATGTAACTACCTCACCTTTGTCGATGGGGTTTGGAGATATGGTTCCCTTTGAATGTTATGTCTGTGTTTTGACAGAAAACCCTGCATGTAGAGGGACAGGTAAAATTCCCGTCCATGGTCCACTCTCACCTGGTCCCACATACCATATTCAAGAACTGCAGATCTGCAATTAGATATATAATTACAATCGTCAGCATTGAAACAAGATTTGTCTCCTATGCAAATGGAGGGTTAAGTTCTGAATATAATAGAATAGTAAAAATGATATCTGAATACAATCATTTGTACATTAT